AGTTTATTGAATTGGGATTACTGAAGGAACAAAAGTACTGATAATGAAAAAAAGGAAAGAATCTGGATGATAAAAGCAGATATGCTGGAACAGAAGAACAGAGCATATCCTTCATTTTTTATGGCCACAGTTGAAAATAGTTTTAGCAATGCATTTACACACTGGCAAATATTGCGTACATAGGACTGTCAGTACCCATTGTTGCTTGTGGTGAGATGACTGCAAAACATTTTTAATAGAGCCCTGCACAATGACACTGTAAAGCTCAACAATATTTCTAAATAATTTTAATACTGAATTTCTGAGAGGATTATCTAGGATGTTTCATCTGAAATTTTCAACATCTTAAGTTTGTTTTAAAAAGAAAACCTGTAATTTCTTGCCAGTCAATATGAAAGTAAATTAACCAGATAGAAACACATTGTGCCACTCTTCATACTATAATCACCTACAAATTTGCTTATGATTATAGTCACAAGTCTTGTGAACCTAACATCTCTGCATTGTGACTTTATAATAACTCACTCACTTCAAATGTACAGAAATATCCATGAACCTCAAAGTATTGTACTATAATGCTGTCAAATAAACAGACTACTGGAATTCAATTTCCAGAATGCCAAGGCAAAATCTACTGGCCTTTATCTGAAATACCAGTGTCATTTTCAAGCCCTGTATTTAATTAATACTATTTACTGTCAAGAGCCAAGCCGTGTAAATATTTCACTCCACCCAATTCAGGGACTAAAGGCAGGCCCAGAGGAAAATCTGCCCAAGTAAATGCATCTCATCTTCTTTGATGATGCAAGTGCTCAGTTGTCCTGTTCTTGACCCCTCTAGAATTCCCAAGCTCCAATACTGGTGGTACAATGTCATCAATCTATATATAAAATATACATTGATTTTCCATGGATGATAATGACAACTATTTCTTCTGCAAATGTGTATATCGTATACCTTTGCCCACATAAAAAGGCTCCTATCAAGGTAAGAAATGAAAAAGCCTTAGCAAAGTCCATTATGAAGTCTAAACCAATATTTAAGAAGTGACTAAAAATCAAGTTAGCCATCTGATTTCCTAAATATTTTTTATTTATCTCACTGAAACTGAAATGTTAAAAATAATCTTCCAGGATGTAGCTATATACAAAAGGCAAGATGCAATCTGTTGAATGAGTGTTTTTAACCATCCTGGATACATATGCAGTTTGGCTCCATTGATTCAGTAAAAAGTTCACTAACAGAACACTCCATTTAAACCCATTTACAGTAATTAATGAGTTTTACATATAACAATAGTTTAATCCAGCTTTACAATGAATTTGAACATTGTGGCCTCAAAACTATGAAAGTACTTTAAAACTGCTTTCATTACTAACAAATCTAGTTCTGCCAGTTGCAAGTGTGATAAGATTTCTCTCCACAGTACTCTAAATTTCCATCAATTTTAAAGGGAATGCAATATGTTACATCTGTAGATTCCAGCTTTTCCACAAAATAATGATTTTCATAAGCTCCCATTTCCAATTTTAGGAGAAAAAAAACCCTGTGGGGTGTAATTGTATAAATCTTAATAGATGCTCATCTCTTAATACTTGTGTTCTCATTGTACCACCCACACAGAATTTCACTCTCAGATTAGGAGTATCATTTTAATGCTGATTACATTAAATTCACTATAATCAAGCATCCACTTTTACAAGCATCTTTATAGGCAATTCATGTTAACTAATGTTGCTACCGAACAGCAGTGACTGAACACAGAATCATCTGATCACATTTTATGCAAAACACAACTCCCCAATTCTGAGGTCTAGGAATGGAAACACATTCCCTTTATTTACCACAAACCAATTCAATGTAGATTAAATATCCCTCGCAGAGAAGGCCCAATTCAGTAAGGACTACCCATACCTATATTTTATTCCAGGTATTCCAGAAACACAGCTCCTGTGGGAATTAAGGTGCTCTGAACAGACTCCAGAGCTCTAGGTAGGCAACATTCCCGCCCTGTTTCGCATGCTAAGCGAAGTGAGCTCTGCCTTACTCAGGTCTGATACTTGGAATCTACTGTAGGTTCCTCACTTGCATACTTAAATAGTGAAAGCTCTTAAAACACACTTTGATATAAGGCACTCTTATTTTCAGTATTGCACTTTATTTTCTGACAGTATTCCCTTTACACACATGTGTATTAGAACAGTCAAATACGAGACATCTGTCAGAATTTTCTTTATCTACCACAGCTGTAAACAATGAGTACCATAACTCAGAACTAAGAGAAACAAATATTTTCTATCACACTTGACACTAAGTACAACACAAACGCCAATGAAATCACTACAAAGTTAGATTGAAACAGACTCTCCAGATCAAGAGTGACAGAAAACTGAGATTTCTCTAATCTATGCCCTTTTTTGCTGAGAAGTGTTCCTTACAAAACAAACCACTTCATGCAAAATGAAAAGGAGAACGAGAGAGGGAAAAAAAATATTTTCTGACTGGTAACTTTTAGACTAAGAACTAAAGTAGGGATGTTATTTGTCTGAGGTTTTTATAAGTCTAAACTCCTCACCCTTCTAATTCCATCACTTTTTTGTTAGCACACGGCAGCTACTTCCCATCACCCCAACTAACATGTAAAATAGGTCCAACAAGTTTTAAGTAGCAGTTTCACTTTCCCAAAAAAAAAAATAAATACAGGATGAATGCACACAAATTCAGTCACAGCAGTGGTACAGTCTCACAACATACAGTCAAACCCAACATCTATTATTCCACAAGCAACACTAGTCAAAAGCCAAGGCCAGCACTTCTTAAATGAAACTTCAACTGTATGTCCTTCCTACATTAGCATAAATTCAGACAGATTAAACAGCTATAACTCTTGGATCTTGTGATGGAGAAAGTGAGCATGCAAGTATGTCGCACGACAGGACTGAAACCGTGGACATTCAAGAAAGTTAAATATCAATGGAAGAATTTCCAAGGATTCAATGGATCCAAGATTTTAAACTATCCCTTGTCTTATGCGACCTACTTTTTGCGAACTATCACATGAACACATGGATAACCACCCACTTTAGAGCAAAAGGATAACCTGAGTGGAAAACTACCTCTCTACTTCATCCTGGCCCTCTAAATCCTTTTATGACACCCATTCTTTTTACGGTGGTTTATTCTTCATTGCCATCACCATAGACTTCATATACAAATATTTATGTCCTATTTGCTCTTATTAAAGGCTTTGAACTTTCCAAACACAGCAACTGTGTGTTAGTCAGCATCTATAAAGGTACCAGATTATTTTCTATGCCTGTAACAACCAAATCTATAGTTTTGGTGCAGAATGTAGAAACACTAAGCAAGAGAGGGGTTGTTTTTATTTCTACACATACCTTAATAAAGAAAAAAACCAACACAAATTATATGGAAATTGCTTCTATTTTAATATTTACCTTTTTCAGCCTCTAATGCATTTGCTTTTTCAATGGAAAATTACAATTCAGACAACTGAAAACAAACATACTATCAACTTGACAACAAAATTTCATGTTCTCTATGGAGAATTTTGGCAGCAACATTTTCCTCTTTATTACACACACCTAACTCATTCTATAATGAGTCCTATTCACTAGAAAAAATATTTTAGAGCCTCTGTACTTTTTTCCTAACAATTTGCTTAAATGATTACAAAAGCAGTTTATTAGTGAGAAGACCTGCACATGCACATTACAATCATTATGCAGTCCATAAGTAGTGCAAATAAATTATAAGTAATAAGTGTAAGTGTAAATAAGTAATAACATCTATGTGGCTGAGCATTTTCAAGTTAATATAATACATAAACAAGCTATTAGCCAGTATTATAAACTTCACTGAACACAATGAACTACAAAGTGTTTTATCAGAACAGCCAAGGGAAAAGGCAGAAAAAAAAAGCACTGGAAAGCTGTTTAACCTGTTTTCATTCACTGATGCTAGAAAATTCAGCAAGTTTAAAGGAAAGCATTGTTACTTCGCAAAGACTGCTCAACATAATTAACAAAAGAGGAAAGGATACTTGATGTGGACATGCATAATTTTATCCATAATGGTTGGCATTTTATAAACATTTATCCCCCAAACAACTAAAAGCCTCTTCAGCAGGTTCATTTCCCACCTCTATATTTAGTGTACAAGCCTCAAAAATACATATTTTTGACCTTAATAAGTGACTCTGTGCTAAAAGACAACATCTATTCATGAGTACACTAAAAAGGTTCTCACATAAAATCTCAAATGCATATTTGTTGTAAAAGATTTATACCAAGTGAGTATATTGATATATCAAACATACCTAAAATAAAACCACAGCATTTATATTCTACTTTCTTTCACTGCACTACCAAACTATTATTAGTCTGCATTTAAACAATCCGCAGGGGTCTCTTTTTCTAATTCTCAGTGGTATTATCCCTCCTTGAGAGCAGAGTTAAACAGGCACAGCACTGCCTGATGGAGTCATCAGACAGTAATTCTTGAGCAACAAGCAGTTTAAGTCATCACTGTCATTATACCAATTTCAACCCTCAATTTAAGTAATTTATTAGTGCACAGAGTTGGATGGAAAAGCTTGTATTATTTCATATTCAACCTTTGCCATAAGACAGACCATAATCAGCACATTTGAAAAATGTCAATTCCTTAGTTACAGTATAGAATTTCAAACAAACTTAATAAGATCACTTCAGCCATTCTCAGCAGAAAGTCCCATTCCTGGTCCTAGCACTAAAGCAAGGACCCTGCTTCCACAACCAGCCTGGGCATTATTTTTCAGAGTCTCTAAAATGTTAGCATTTCAACTGAGTGTATATATACTATCATCTCTTACTTAAAACTAAGGCTTGTTCTGCTCTATCCACACAATCAATTTAAGACATCTCAAGTCAAACTCCCCAGTGAAGAAGATAAAACAGTAACACAATCCAATTAAATGCAATAGGATACAGACAACTCACCGAGACTCAGCGATGCAGACAACGATTTCTAGGGGCTGTGCGTACAGGGGGCCTCACTACTCAGATGCATCTCAAGCATGCTAGGAACAAATTCGAGAGAAAAATATTAGTTTTTTTTTTTTTTTAGACAGGCATAGAGAAAGAAAAATATGATGCTTAGCACATTGCAGTTTTAAGCATAACACAACGAGGGAAACCCAAACTTTGCAGAGCATTATCTGCTTTTCCAGACATAACTACAACCCCCTTCCAGTTGCACAATCACTCCAGGCACACAACTTCCTCTCTACCTGCTGCCTACTGCAAATTCACAGCGATAGCAACTGAAATGTTTACATTAACTTGCACAGTACATAGCCTCTATTTTCACAAAAGAATCTGTGAGAATTCTCTGTGAAAGTGGCTGGTTCCTTTTTTGGTTGACTGCTTGGCTGGTTGACTTTATAACACATTAGTTTCAAATCTCTAAAAAGCAGAAACTGGTGTTCTCAAAGTGTCTTTCAACCATTACTGCAAGGTGTATGTACAGAAGCATGTTTCTTCCCTGAGCACCCTGACCCAAGTGACAAGTACTGGTGAACAGAAAGGATTTTAATTAACATGGAGCTTAAAGAGTCCTGCAGAGGACATACATTGCACAGCAAAACATGTTTCTTTAGGAAGGAGGACCGTGCCGCTGCCCACGTAAGTATTATACCTGCATTTCTGTTTGTAGGTCGAATAGTACTTTATGTCAAATGTATCCAAGAACATTATCAGGGAAGAGTTTTCTACTTTCTTATTCTGACAAAAAGGCAGAACATAAAGCAAATGACAGCATAAAAAAAGAGATACACTACAAGAGTCATCAACAAAAAACACCAAACCCATGCTAATTACACCTCAAGAGAAATGGAATTTAGAACTTCATTCCTTCTGTCATTTCTGCCATCTCACAGAAACCTTCTTCAAAGAAACTCTGCTTAAGTTCTTTCAGTCACAGACAGGATACCACTGCAGTAACAGACTATTCACGGGCACCACTAACAAAGAAGTATTCTTTTATAAAATATATATACAGAAGATAAATCTACATTGTTTCCTTGGAAATGCCCAAAAAGAATGCAAGCTCTACAGAACCCAAACACAGGACTTGCAGTGGGTCCTCACTGACAGAAAACATCATCTTGTCTTAGAATAAAATTTTCAGTCAGCTAGTAAATCTTTTGGTGGTTTAGTGATGTTTACAGTATCTGTTAGACACCTGCAGTTCAGACACGCACCAAAGAGAAGCCGCTGTCTCACCAGCAGACTGGGGCTGCAGCCCCAGCACACAGAGAGGAGACCTTTTCCACAGAGCAGCAGTAACAATTGCACTACCTGTGAAGACAGAAATATTTCCCACTCCTCTCCTGTCTTTCACATGCTGTGTGCCAGTAAATGAGAATGAGGATTCTACCACCATTTTGTTTCTTGACAACTAATGTGGCTGCTCACTTGTATTTTCCTACTGTTTTTTCCTATTTTGGATCCCACCTCCTGGTCTCCATGGCCTCCAGTACTGCAGCTCAAGGAGTCTGTACACGAGTGATGTGGCTCCTGACCATTACACTGCAGTCCATGGGGCACCACTGGAACAGACAGGTTTTGCTGATTTTCATTTGTTCTGTTCCTAAAACATTTAACAGTAATGCTGTCTGAAAATGAAGATAATGCATTATAGCTTCACAGTGGAAGCACTACCTTCAAAACACTACTAACAAGATCTTTCTTTCCAAATAAAACTCTTGAATTATACAGCGACTAGTGACAAGCTTATGTACCTGAATAGATGTATTATCTAGTGTATTCCAGATATATTTCTCTAACTAAACTAGACTGTCAGTGAAGAAAACAGTGATGAACACGCATTGATGGACAATGAAACTATCTGTTAGCCCCTTGCCTTCCCTTCTCAAGCCCATTCTGAAGCTTGAAATCATAGAATGTTAAGGGGTTGGAATAGGCCTTACAGGTCACCTAGTCCTACCCCCACTGCCGTGGGCAGGGACACCTCCCACCAGACCAGGCTGCTCAAGGCTTTATCCAACCTAGCTCTGAACATTGCCAGGGTTGGGGCATCCACAACCTTGAGCAAGCTGTTCCAGTGTCTTATCACCCTCAGAGTACAAGATTTCTTCCTAATTTCTCATTTGTATTTTCCCTCTTTTGATTTGTACCCATTACTCCTTGTCCTATCACTGCAGTTCCTAACGAAGAGTCCCTCTCCAGCTTCCCTGTAAGTAAGTGAAAGGTTGCTATGAGGTCTCCACACAACCTTCTCTTCTCTACGTTGAACAGCCCCAGCTTTCACCACCTGTCTTCGTAGGGGAGGTGCTCCTAATAAAAGCAACCCAACTAGCATGCTACTACCCATGCCTATGCAAATTCACACCCATTCCCACAAGAATCAGGAGGTTCTTGGGATGTGCCTTAAGACTTAAGAGAAATCACTCTTGCATGAACCCAGCTCTCACAATGACATAACTCTGCTAATGGTGGTGTGCAAAGGCCTGTGTAGGTAGGTCTCACACAAAGGCCTACATGAAGAGCAGGTCCCTGCCTCAAACAGTACACAAATTATCAACATTAGCTACTATATAAAAATGGAATACACCACAGCCATCACTCTCCACACTACCCATTTTCCAACACCACCATTCAATCATTCATCCCAGGAAGAGTAAAAGAAAACTGCTTAAAAGGTCAGAAAAACTCAGCTAAAAGCAATTGCTATGGAGCAGAATAACACACCATTCCCCGACTTCAGAGCACTATACATCTTTATTTTCCAATCATGCACAGTCACTTATTTTTTTTCCAGTCTGTATTCCAGGTACCTAAGATGCATTATCTCCTCAGTCCATAAAAACTTTAAGTTGTGCACAAAACACAGCATCCACTCTACAAAAACTACAGTTTAGCTAAAAGGGAATAAATGACTACCACTTTCAGACGGATGTGATCTTCTACAGCACACAAGCTTAGTAAGCATGAACTTGGTGAGCTTAGTGAGGCTTTTCACATCTCTACAGTCTTCAGGTTCTCTCACTCCTGTACTAAGAAAAGGACCCACAAATGATCTCACCACTGCACAGTTAATGCCAACTTCACACAGAACCATAGCAAGAAAATAGTTTGAGGCATCATTAAAAATTCAGTATCTTTGTTTCAAAGTAATGCTTAAAAAAACCAGCAAAACAAGCAAAAATATGTTTGCACTGCAAATGCCAACAAAAATTGGCAAGCAATTAAAAAAACCCCAAACCTTTAAACTATGTTATTAGAGCTACATTTTATAGCCAGTAAAGTATCAACAAGTTGACTTTTTTCCCCCCAAGATAATGGCAACAACTATTCTGGCCACATTTAAGGAAAACGGTGTATTTCTAGCAGTAAATTTTTATTTTGGAAAAAAACCCACTAAGATTTAAATTGGAAGAAGACATTTTTCTCCTTGAGAATATAATCGAAAACTGTTAAAATAAGTAATTTATTTGTATACACTCAATCTTCCTCCACAAAGAATCTACTTTAGAAAATTGATAGAACAGGAGGAGGAGGACATTGCTCATATCTCTGGAGACCAAGGTATAAATCTGGGTCGGGGTAGCAAGTGAAATTAGTTGACAGTAACCACATGTATTTCTGGGAGAATATAAGTGGTTGGTCAGCAAGTCCTGACAATAATTTTGAAAGAGTAAAGAGTAAGGACTGAAGAGCTACTTCGTGAACTCAAGGCATGGTGGAAGCAGAATGAAGAAAAGCAACCTCCACTGTAGACTAGATGAACTCTCACTTGCACAAGTATTCAGACTTATGACCTTGGGGTTTGGGTTGTTTTTTGGTTTGGGGTTTTGTTTGGTTGGTTTGTGTTTTCTTAAGTCTGATTCTATCACACAGGTATATGATGAATTTTTAAGTTCATAAAAATATCTGTAATAAAAGTGTCAGTACATACTAGCAAATTTATTCACAGGCATGTTGTCCTCTATCATCAAAGCTTTCTTTCTAAATGCAGTTTAGTACCTCCTACATAATCTGTGAGGTACAAACAGGTAACAAACCACATTGGTTTTAACTGGAGTGATTTTCTACAAAATCCATGGGGGCAAGGCTCATTAGAGATCAATACTGACAGCAATGCAAAACTAAATCTGTTCACACACAGATAAATTACAGCATGGGCAGAGTAAGAGTAAAATTCCATAATCATTCTGACCTAACAAGTGGAATGTTATTTCACTTTCCATGCCCATTCTTCAATCCCAGACTTTTCCACCAAGCCAGCCAATAAAGCAGCCAATTGTGATATGCCCACTATAAATCCTACCGAAGAGTAACAATATGTCTTACACAGCTCACTAAAAAGAGATTCAAAATAGCAACTCTCAGTCAATGCTCTATCAGATATAAGTTCTCACTATGTCCCCTCACTGCAGTTCATGTGATCCATACTACCTAAGATTTATCACATTTGGTAGACATTTTAATTAATCTGTCACCTATACTCTCTACCTTTTCATTAATACATTAAAGGTTTCCATGTGATATGGACTATTGTAGCAAAACACAAGTTTTCCTTTTCAAACACTAAGTAACTTCTTGAAGTTTAAAAACAAACAGAAAAACATAAACAGGCTTTATGGAGAGCGTTGCATCTTAGCTGCAAAAACAAGTGCACATTACAAAGATGCTTCTGAATAGCTAAGTAATGGGAGCATACACACAGAAAGAGTGAGATTTAGAATCAGTTATAACTGCTAAAATGAGAGCAAAGGAAAAATAATATCTGTCAGTAACTGTATTAATGGGAGATTGTTATGGAAGCCATTTAAGGAAATGCACGACTTGGAGCAGCATAATGATGCAGCTGCTGAAGAAAAAATTGTGTGTATTGTTAATATGCTGTGGTATAGCTTCAGACATTTAAATTAATGAACCAATTTCAAACCTCAAAATGCCAAGCACCCCAGTGACCATAGACTTTCCACAGGAATTGTGCCCATTTTATTTCCATACATCTCTTAAATAAAATTTCCATTAGTCTTTAACTTAAATA